TTTAATTCTATAACTCTGTATTAATGTATCAGTCTGATTTCAGTTGTTTATTGAAATTATTTTTCATAAAACAAGATAATAACAAGGTCTTGCACGAATTTAAAACAGAGAGACAATCAACATAAATATTTTTCATACAAGAGCGACTTGAATTAACGCAAGGTTTTTTTAAAATTCTATCAGTACTGTCTTGCCTAATCGAAAAAAATGTAATCTTAATAGCAAAAACAACATGTAATCAGACATACAATGAAAAGGTAAAAGAAAATGTAAGGAATAAGTAGCACTTATAACAACAGACAAGGACGCTTACATTTTTGACAATTAATTTTCACAATAACACGAACGTAAAAGTTTACGATGCAATTGCCATATATCTAAACAAGTTGCTCTATCAGTCAATCGACAATTGATTACTAAAATGTAAGAGCAAAGCCGGCAGCTCTGGTTTAAACTATATACTTAGAAATATTTATAAAGCTTCTATATGAAAAATCTTGGAATTTCGATTTTGTTCTGGAAGAAATTAAAATTTTAATTTTTTTTCAAAAAATTTTCAAATTTTTAATCGATAATTATGAAAAGAAAAAGAAAACAAACAGAATTATTTACTTGATAATTGTAAATAGATTCGTCCAGTTTGACCATATTGATCAAAATATGATCGAATAATTGTAACATTCATTTTATTTGGAATACGACTAAGATAAATAACACCAGGTATTGGTTTCTTTTTAGTATTAGAAACTCGCACAATTTTATCATTTGATTCAGATTGATCAATTTCAGTTATCGGTTCTTCTTCTTCTCCTTCTTCTTCTTCTTCTTCTTCTTCTTCTTTTTGTTCTTCTGATTTATCGTTTTCACTTGATGATATCTTACGTTTCTTACTCATCGTAAAAATTTATCTAAAATTCAAAATCAATAAAATCTTTCTAATCTATAAATAATTAAAGATCAAGAAATGAGTTTTTGACAAGTTTCTATAAGAATAAAAACAGTGAAGTTTCTGTATTCGAGAGAAGAATTATAAAATAATGTGTATTAGATTTAATATGAAATAGTTCTTTTCTGTGTTCTTTCACATTTGCCAATATCACTAATTCGTTTTGTGTATTAAATAGAATAAGGGATTCTCTTGTGATGATGATTGTAAATTTCACTTTATTGCTGTTAATGAGCAGTTTAAAAAGTTATTTAACATTTTTTGTCAGTTTGATTTTCTACTTATTGAACAATTAAAAAAGAAGATACAATAAGTTGCCTTCTTCGTTTGATATGAACTATATTTTAAGAGATGCATCGCCAAATTTTCCTTCTCTTTCTATATCTCCCATCTTCATTTTTTCTTGTTTATGTAATATATAAAATGAATCCACATCATTGATCACAAACTAACGATACAGCGTAATCATTTATCTATGCCTTTAATTTACACGTGTGTTCCTAGGTTAAGAATACCAGAGACGAGAACGACTCAGTTCGGTTTCAAAACATACAAACCATGTCAATCTCTGTCAAGTACTATTAAGTTGAATATGAATAAAATTATTCAAACAATGTGTTATATAAAAAAAAATATTAATACGATTAGATTATCACTATTGACAAAATAAACATGTAAAAGAACAAAAGTCTAAAACGTATTGAAAGAATAAACAATTAGCTTTAGATTAAATCATTTGATGGCAGAGCTGGGGCGAAGTAAAAAAGTGCAAGAATGCATTTTCCTCCTATCGCCACAGTCGTATCTGGTGGTCGAAACATAGAGTAGTGGTGATAATTATAACTCCAATGAAACAATCAACTTGTTTTCAAGTACTTGATATCAATAGGTCTAATCGATTTCACATGTGAATTATTATTATTAGTGGAATAGTGAGTTAATTAATTGGAATTGTGAATATCTGGTGTATGTATTGTACCAATGGAAAAACACTGATCTTTTTGAATGAACTTGTTAAAACAATAACATCTGTTGGTATATTTCTTGTACAAATTTTATTCGGTTGTGTAGCTGTTCGTGAAGATGGAAAAAACGATATAATGAAGTCATATTTTATATCATATCTGAAAAAGATAAAAAAAGGATAAGTTTTCTAGGAGATAAGTTAATTATTATTTTTGTTCAGCTTTTTGTGGGTATACGAAACATAGTATTAGTATTCTACCTATTTGATATAACTAAGTGTTCTATTATCTAGGTAAAATGTCAATTATTTTCTTTTCAATTTCTCTTTGACGTGATTATCTTCTAATTTTTTTTCCTTTGTTTCTGTTAATCAAGTTTACAATGGTCAAATATAGTGAATTAATAATAACAGCTGGTTTTGCTTTGCAAGATATTGGAATTCTACTAGCATTAGTCATTTATTCTCATCAGTAAGTTCATATTTCTATTGAACATATGATCTTTTTATCTTCGATTATATTCTGGGGTTAATCAACTGTTTTGATTACATGCCTGCATTTATTACACTTTATTATTGTTTAACAATCACAGGAGTACTTTGATATTTACGAGGGAATCTGCTCAGATGTTAAATCGCTTTTCAATTGAGACAATGTTTATTTGATAAGCATTAGTGAGCAATAGAAAAGTCTAGAATAGTTTGGTTTTCCTTATCTTTACTCCTGAGATATCGAGATTTTGCTGGGTTTTTCATTCTTCTGAGGTCAAGTGGAAAATCGACTTTCGACTTCTGCGAACAAAGTTCTCAATGAAATTAGTTCATTGAACAAATTGTAATTTTTCTTGTTCATGTAAAGTTTGAAGTAGAAACTGGAACTTAAGTTTTTCACGTAACATAAGGAAGAAAATCCAGGGAATTTTCAATATTTCGAGAACGAAGATTCGGAAAATCAAACCATTCTAGATCATATGAACATCGTCTCTTTCGAAAAAGAACGATTTCATATCTGACGAGATTCTTTCGTCAGCTAATGCTGAATTACATATTCATACAACAATTGATTATACTCAACAACAAAATTTTTTGTACAGAAAACAGAATTATGTAAAAAAAAAAAAAAAATAAAGTTAATATTGAAGAAAAATTAATTATTGAATTAGAAAAATTAAATTCATGGAAAAAGTTTTTGGGAACTGAAAAAATCTATTGGTTTCTACTTTACATGGCTTACCATTGAATCAAAGTACGTATAGTACTTAACATTATATCATTACTTAAAAATATAATAAATGTATATGATACACTGCGAAATTTAGTGGAAAAAAACATACTTGGTATAGTAAGTACCAAATATTAAATTGAACACTTCGATACAGTTTTCAGATACTCATTCTATGCTTATTCATTAGAGAACTTTTCTGCCCTACTATACTTTTAATTTAGCTTTTCCAATAATATTTTCCTCACAACAATATTTAAAACATTAACACAAATTCAATTTCCAATCTTCTGTAGATATTCATCAATTTGTGCAAGTCTTTACTCATCAAGATTAATCCTAAAAGTAAAATATTTTGTATCAATTGATAAAGAATTTTCTGCTATATGTTCCCAAATATTTGGCAAGGCTCTTGATATTATCTCTCAGAAGAAAACGACTTATTTGAATTTACAGTTAAAAAAACCTTTAGCATCGTTTCTTTTTGTGACTCTTGTAGTTAGATGATTGAATAGGTGGTTGCCTTTTAAATTTTTTTTTCACAAGAAAAGGTTATTTGCAAAATTAAAATCGACGCTTTCCTAGAACGAAACATCCTTTATCAAATGAGCTTGGAACGAATTTTTGAAATCAAATCGAACTATCAAAATAGAAAAACAAAATGATTGTATCTTGCATAATTTGTGTCATTTGTTAGCATATGAGTGCGATAAAATATTATTTTAAAATTTCGAGAACGAACTAATGGATTCTAGTAGTCTTGAATATTAAGTTACAGTGTTACTTATCAAACGAATGCGTTATATTAAAATTCAATTATTCAGTTTTGCAATGCTCACTCGTTTTTTTTATCATTCTATCAATTACTTATCTTTTCATTATTGCTCAATTTATTCTCTTTCGATTTATTTATAGTTTAGCTAAACTTTAGTCCTAATGCTGCTACAATTTATAATCTTTCTTTTTCTGAAACACAATCTAAAAGAATTATTGAAGTATGAAAGTAAAAATTTCGACCTTCCATAGAACGCAAATCAATAACATCTCGTTATAGTATTTGAGCTATTTCCTTATTGTATTTCTGGAGAATTAAGTAAAAGGATGATGAAGAAATGTGTCTCAAAGTAGATAGAATAAAACGATTTTGCTGTGATTAACAAGAACCACTACGTCGTATTTCATATTTTAATCCTGCAAGAATCATGCTAACATCTTTTTTAGTTCTTCGTCATCCTGGCGACACTCCTATGATGCTACATTTGCATTGTTTATTGTTAATGATTTTCGATTATTAATTGTTATATTATCTATTTTAATAGCATTAAATTATTCTCTATTACCTGAAATAAGTGTTCAACTATTAGACGCAATATCATCGATCAAATTGAAAAGTATTTAAATTTTATATCTAGGAAAAGAAAATTTTTGGTTTTTATTTCATTGCAAAGAAAGAAAAAGAATGCTTGTATATTCTTCTAATACTCAATAAATGTAAAAAGTTATCCGGCTAGTTCAAACAATCATGTATGGAATCAATAGAAAAACCGAAAAAGAAAAAAGTGGATCAACTGAGATTCACTAATCACAATCAAGAAAAAAAACAAAAAAAATGGAAGTGAAGATCATAATCAAAGTCTTGTGTAGGTGATCAATACTAATTTGGATTGAGCCGCCTAAGTGAGAAAAAAAACAAAGAAAAACAAAGAAAAATCAATATATATATATGCAGAAGAAGAAAACAAAAATTATAATAGTTAGAAAGCAGGTTTTTTTTCTTTCAACATTATAAATGATAAAGAGTAAGACAAAAGGATTTTGGAAATGATGAAAACAAAAAGCACATATTATGTGGTTACTCGATGATTTATTTACATTTTAAGTGAAAAGACAAGTGATAAGAAATCTTCATAATTAATTGTTATTTCTCCATTTTGTAAACGATCATATTGACGAAAAGCATTTGTTAATGTTTGAATCGATACACAAGCTTGAATGAAATCATCAAATGCAACTGTACCACGACCAGTTCGATCAAATTTTTTAATAAGTAAATCATAGAAACGATCCGATAGACGATAACCTAGAAAAGAAGATCAATAATTGAATTAGTAAAATCTTTAGAAAAAAATACATTGAAAACAAAAAGAATGAGTGTATTGCATGCATTTACATCGATCGACAATCGTAAAACAGTAAAAAAAGAGTACTAATAATGCAAGCACAGGATCAATGTCATATAAATTGATTTCTTAATACATGTGCATGCTTTATTTATATAGTAAATAGTGATGATAAGCACCAACGGAAGAAAATTTTATTACAGCTTTAGTATAATATCCTACACCTTAACATATCTACCAAAAAAAAACCTACCAAACGAGCTCAATGCTGTTTTGAGCTCGTGTTTATCAATAGAACCACTACCATCCAAATCGAATCTCCTAGAATTTATAATATTCAATTTTTTTTTGTTATTCAAAAGAAGAAAAAAACACACAAACCTGAAACATTTTTCCCATTCAGTAACATATTTCCAAAGAGCACGAAACTCTTGAAAATCAATTGTTGATGATCCATCACGATCAAACATACCTATAAAAGTAAATAAATAGCCAATAGGATAATTTTGTTTGTTTCCGTTTTCCAACAAAAAAAAAGAAGAAGGAAAAAATATTCAGTATCCGATTGTCGATCAAAATGTAAATGTAAGCAAATATCATCAAATCATTCTTTTATATTTTATTTCTCATTACCAAATGTTGTTAAAGCCTTTCGAAATTCATTTTTATCAATCGAACCACTTTTGTCTTCATCAAATCCACGAAATACTTTTTCCCATTGTGTTATAAAATTCCATAAGGCTTTGAATTCATTAAAATCAATTGTTGATGAATTATCATGGTCAAACATTCCTACAAATAATTTATTATACTACTCTCTATTATACTTAACTTATCACCATCGTCATTAGAATAAATAGCTTTTTTGATGAATTGTTATCTTTTAACTTACCTATCATCATTCGAACAGTCTCCTAAAAATAGAAAACAAAAATAATTTTTCTTTTAATATAAAATTTCATACAGGATTAAATGGACTCCATGTGCCATTTGAAAGAGCCGATTGAAGTTCGTTTGATGATATTGAACCTGATCCATCAGCATCTACCCTAAATATTAAAAAACGATTTCATTAGTGAAGAATTATTTGTTATACAAAAAAAAAAAACTCACTTTCGGAAAACTTGTTGTAAAAAAGTGTCTGATACATCACCGTGACTCATTTTTTACAAAATGAAATGATAATTGTATTAAGAAAAATAAATTAATTATTATTTTATCTGAAATGAAACGATAAAAGTAGTGTTCTCGTCTTTTTTTTTGCCTACACATATTTAGTGATTCAATTTATATTTATCTATCAAATTTTTTTTCTTTGATGTATCAATTGATAATAAAATAACGAACAAGGTTAAAAGAAAAGCAAAAGGAAGCACTTCTTCATTGTATCGAAGTTAATATAAACGGGAAAGAAATTAATAGAATACCGATTGGAATATTGATATTTAATCTCGTTGTGATTTGTTAATTACACACGCAAGAAGATTCGAGAAAAAAACTTGTAACTCAACTCTATACAATTTACCTGTTTCTTTTTCCCTAATAAAATAGGACCATTTACAAATGAAGTCTTGGAAAATAGGAATCAGTAAAAAGTGGATATTTTCAGAGAGGAAGATCACATGCATATCTTGCAATGAACATCATAGATTATCTATTGAAGAAAAACTCTTTTTTTTGTGTTGCTTCATCTTCGAAAAAGTATGAGTTACAATATCGATAAGTTTATAAAAGCCTCAAAAGCTGGATTTTTCAAATAAAACGTTTTTCTGCCAACAAATAAGATATATGAATATATATATATATAACGATGATAGCGTCTACGAACACTATTTAAAACTTTCACAAAAATTACGTAGAAAAACAGATGGTAAAACACAGAAAGGTCACAACGAGTTTTTTAGCGCCTACAACTCGAGCATAAATGTTGATCATATTACACGAAATGATAGAGTAAATTATTTGCTGCACCCGAGCTCTTTACAACGTTTTATCCGCCGAACTAAATCAGATTAACATAAAGTTTCAGATAGAATTTTTGTCAAGTCGTTCTCCTTCCCAATGATCACTAGAGTGTGTGTAACCGATCTGTCCATACCGTCAATGTATCAGAGACATTAATATCCTATTCGAATGGTCGTTTCTTCAGTAACTTTTCAGGTATCGTTGTAGGAGATAAAGAGTTAAATTGGTTTTGAGCAGCATTTTGAAACAAATGACTTCTCAATAATTCAATGATGCATTATCTAAGAATAAATCACCTATATAAAAGACAGTGTATCTGAGCAAAAGGTGTTTCTAAAAAAATTCAAAACTAGACGTTCCACCAGAGTTAATCAAAACTGATCACTTCCGAGTACAGTCGAAATATGCGGCTTTGACCTGAACGTGCTTTATGGATGACTTCATACTTGCAAAAAAAATATAAACGTAACATTCTTTTTCTTTTTCTGCAGTAAAATATATGATATATCACCTTTAAGTAAATATCAAATGCGACATAGGTATACTAGAAACATAACGAGAAAAAATGAAATCTATGTAAGGCCCCAAATCATAGGAAATTAGCAAAACATGTTGATTCTGTAATGGAGAAGTTATGTTAAAATTCTCAGTCGTATAACATGACGTTTTTGGGGGATATTCAACAAACAAAAGTGAAAGACAGCTTATTTAACAATCCGAAATTTCCTAGGAATCATCATTCTATAAATTAACTAATTTTTAAAATTTTTATTTTTTATGCAAAGAATAGAAAAGATGAGAAGTTCAGTTATGCTCAGAAGTGCTTCTTTTTATATAATAATAAAATAGATAAAATAAAACAAAACGCAATTGGCTACAATGAAGCTCATACAAAAATTCTGGAATGTACAATCAGGAGAACATAAACATAGAAAAATCGAAAAAGATTTGCCAGTTTTTCTTAAAAAAGCATACTAATCAAGCAGGTGAGGAAAATCATGGAAACAATGACGTACAAAACAAAAAATCACATTGTTTGTGAAAGATTCGATATTGTAGTACATTTTTGTAGAGGGCTCAAAGAAAAAACATCTGTTAGTATAATCACCATGGAATTAAATGCTAAACACGAATTAATTTCTGTCACTAATAGCAAGACGCGTTGATATAATATTTTTTAATTAGTTGTTAAATTCATGGTTTTCTCTTTGAGTACTTCATATAAAATACAATTAACTCCACATGCAAAGCTATACCTGGCACAACCGAGAGTAGAGCTAGTCGGGTTAGTCTCAGAGCTGAGACCTACCCGACGGGTTATATTCTACGAGTACGAATCAATTATCAATTGATTATTACGCAGATCATCGTCATAATTATCTAAAAAATCTGTAGGATGTGTTAGTAGCAGAATTCGAAGCGAGTATTAGTCTAGATGAAGAGGAGTCTTAAAATCATGCCTATACTTCTACAATTGTTTGACTTCGTGTTTGATAAACAAAAATGTTTTATATACAAAACATCATTCTAATTACAATTTATTTCAACAAATGAACTGCGTTTACCATAACTAACTCTTTCATAGGAAATGATCAATTGATTTTTAGTGCTATTATTCTTAAAGTTATGTAAAAAGGCGTTCATGACCTAGACAAACAAATATTTATCATGTAAAAATTAAAGACAATATTGCATGATATACATACCTATTGACACACACACACATATATTACAGACTGAGGATCCGTGTATCGTATAGAAGCATCCAATGTTTCTTGAATTCCAATTTAATAACTTTATTTTGTATGATTCAAAATTATGCATGAAATAAATAATTTGTATAAGGTAAACATACCAAAAATGACTTGAATTTGATTGGTTTGATCGCTGTTATTAATTTTATAATAAATATATTTTCATACTTCTAAGAAACTCTTTTGAAAAAAAGACAAAGGAACATTGAAGTTATTGATACTGATACTATCTTATGTTGATAACTTTTATACAAACATCAATACAAATAGATCGACAATGAATGTTAATTGAGTCATAGTCTTTTTCATGGATTCATATGACGTCAAAAAACAAATGATTCATCAAGCATATAGAATTGCTATCATAACAGTTTCACTGGCTTGGACCATTGAGTAATTTATAAAATAATCATTTGTCTCTAAATTCATAATGAACAAGGAAAAGTGAAAATATCCAATCGATGTCGATCTTATATTTCATTTGTATAAAATTCAGAATATTTAATGATTCTATTAAAAGAATTTTTATTTTTAATAATTAATAAAGATAATTTATATTATAGAAAGATATTTAGATCTACTCGGATATGAGCGCCCTCTACCGATGGTAACATGTAAAATATCAAATAATTTTTCCTTGAACACGAAAAGTTTTTGTCGTCAATGTAGTTTTTCTTTTAATCAATTAGTAACTTTATTCTGAAGATTTAATCGACGCTGAGTGTTTATCAATTCAATAACTCGGTCACATACTATAAGATGACCTGTCTACAAATAGACAAACTGAAAATAATATCTAGAATTTCTTATTATAGTAAATACGTTGTTAGACATGTATGGTGGGTCAATAGTTATAAGTAACTTGTTTATGTCAAATTATAATTAGATTTTATCAAAGTTTAACGTAAAATCTTTGAAATTTGGAGCTTTGATTAACAGATAGTGCTAAAGTTTTGCATTAGTTTTGTTTTCAGCATAATGTAACAATAACTCGCCGTGGAGAGTTGATAGCTCTCTTGTTAGAAAGAGTGAAGTCTCGACTACAAAGCTGTGTAAAAAAAATTTCCTTCAAAATATCTACCGAAGGCTGAGAAGTTTTAGGAACATGTTTGGCTTAAAAGGTGTCTTTGTAACTTCAAACAAAATCAGTAATGATAAGTGCATTTGAACGATTTGTCTTGTACTTTAATTTTGATATTTTCAGGCATGTTATATGTTAGTGTAACCAAGACGATGCAAGCTTTCTAGTAGTATCAAAATATTCGAAGTGCAAAGCCATAGATTCCATAACAAAGAGTTTTATTTAAAACTTGATTTGCTCTGTACAACACTCAATGAGGTTTTACTCATAGTAGCTACTATTTCTGTTTTATATAATGTGCTGTTGTAGAAGACTCACTAAACTCTAATAGGCGATAAAAAATAGAGTTACATTAACTTCGAATGCTAAAAAAGTCTTATTTTTCGAAATCACTTATTAATTCTGAACAATTTCGGGTAGCAAAGGGCGTTAGAAAAATGTCGATTTCGAACTTAATTGACACCTGGAAAATTTTATTTTTACCTGTGTAGAATATCGTACGATGGTGCTATGAAATCCGCTAAAAGACAGAAAATAAGAGCAAATTTCTTAGTGAACAGAAGTGTTCTTCTAAATTTCAGAATAGAGATGTACAGGAGAGAGTAGGGTAAGGGTTGGAAAATTTTTCTTTAGTCAGCGTATAAGGTACGAGAAAAACTTAACCTGCAGATTTATATTTCGGAAACGAACAGTCAACTTATTCGGTTAAATATGGTCTTAGAGTTCCAGTCGTCAATAACTATTTTGAATGAAATATTTTTACATATCCTTGTAGTAAAGACTTTATTCTTTCTAACGAGGAAACTATCGAGTCTTCGTGATGAACTGTTTTCATACTATAATCGACAACAAAATTCATGCAGAACTTTTGTATCATCTGTTAGATAAGATAGAAATCATATCTAATTGATGATGTACTTCTTAATATGTCTAATTATATTAATGAATTTGAAAATAATTTGATGAAACTATTATATTAGAAATATGAACAATAGTTTCATGAATAATTACATTATATCTTAACTGATTTTGGCATCAAAATGGACTTTATTCAAGATAAATAAATTTAAATGAGATTTCTTATTCTGTTTAATCACAAACACAGTCGAAATCAAAAAGTTTGAATAAAGACAATACAGAACATAATGAATACAGCGAATCAATATATACATAAAACACAATCTGAGCCGTGCCACCATATATATATATATATGTAAAAAAGAAGCAATTATTTCTCTTTTTTATGTTCTATGTTTTTCGACGTTTTTTCGCACGGAATGATGGTGTTTCATGAATCGTTGTATCCATCAATGGTCGTTTTTTATTATCAAGTTTAACTGTAACCATAGATGATTTTGATGATTTTATATTTTCCACGTCATCTAATGAAAATGGATCAGGTTTCATACGAATTGTTAATTTTGGAACAACTCGTCGTGGAGATATTTCATCAGGATTATTATGTTCACTATCAGTAGTTGATGATAGAGAACTAATTGACGATGAACTTGAATGACGACTTGAACGAATAGTTGGACGCCAAATAAGAAAACTTGGATTATTTGAATGTGGAGTTGTTGATAATGATGCAGATGATGATGAATATTGTGATGAAGTACGTTGACGGGTTCTATGATATGTTGGTGAGGCTGATGAAAATGAAGAAGATGAAGATGTTGATAATGTAGGTGAAAGAAGACGAGATGGTCGAGTAGTTATAGTAGATAACTAAACAAATTAATAAAACTGTTAATGAAATCCCTGAGATATTAAAATGTGAAACACAATGCAGCTGTTGTTACTAATTATAGGGAGTTTGTTTTATTTTCTTTATTGTGGGACACATTTCTATACCATCATTTTACTTAATCGTCGACAAATCCAATAAGGTAATAGTTCATATGTTATAACGAAATGTTATTGATATACGGCCTGTGATGCAGTATTGAGTTTAGTGTGAGAACCGAGGAATTGGTGCTCCTCCGAAAATCAGGTTAGTCGTCTCGAGGTTTTAAAATGTCTTCCTCATCCCGACAGAGAGAATCTAGATAAAGCATTGCTGTGGTCGTTTCTAGCTAGCATTTTTCGTGGTCTGTGTGGAGTCAAAACTTTCATCTCTATATTTCAACACGCCTTTTAGATCATGTTTCACAAGAATATCTTACGAGGGAACGTTCCCAAGTGTTCGATCGCTTTTTGATTGAAGCTACATTTAAATGACAAACCATGATTATTAGTGTAAAAGTCTAAGAGAATTCTGTTGCCTGAAATTTTATTCTTGACATATCAAATAGTCACTATATTTTTTAACAGAAGACTGTGGTTCTCTGATGCCATCATGAAAATCGAATTTCGAACTTCGATTTAAAACTTTGTAGAAATGAACTCTTAATGGCCGAACAATGTAGTTACTCAATCATGGCGGTCCTTTTTTATCCGAAGATTTTTCAGTAATCACATCTTGAAGTAGAAGATTCAAAACTCAATGAAAATTTCTAGACAAAGCTCGATTTTCATTGTGACCTGAGAAAGACCACAGCTTTCTATTAAAGTATTTAGTTAAAGATCAATATTTGAAGAACAAAACATAGATGGAACCGGTAGACCGATCTGTCCGACCTTTTCAGACTAGTACTAGTCGTCAAAATTCAAACTGATTCCATCTTTATATTTATAGCAGGTATGTGATAGAACTTGGCGCATCAAGTTTGTCACACAATAAACCGAATTTGCCATATCTAAACTACTCTTTCTCTGGTACTGTGAATTATCGATATATCATTCGTTACTGGTAGACCGATCGGTCGCCGATAACTGGTTCCGTCTCTAGGACAAATGCTCAAACAGCCTAATTCTCTTAGGTTTTTAAATTAATCACCATGGCCTCTCATCTGAATTTGATCTCGATTAAAAAGTGATCGAACACTTGCAGCTGTTCCCTTGTAAGCACTATTTTTTTTAAAGAGATCATTGTTGATTTCATACATTTGAATTTGCTGCAACAGTTTCTTTATTTGTTCTTAATGGTGAAAGAGAATCTGAAGTAGGTTCATCAGAATTAATTGATGATAGTGTTGTTGATGGTTTATCTTGATTAATATTCACCGGTGATTTTGATATAAATGAACTTAAACTACTTTGTCTTCGTCGTGATATTAATTTGTTTGAAGTTGCTAAATGATATGTAGATGAAAATGATTGTAATGAAGAATCAATCGTAGTTTTTGTTTTTTTCTTTCGAGAAGACTAAAATTAACTAATATATTAGATTGTAGCAGTTTATAGGAAGTTGTTTTTACCGATTTTGTTGATTTTGATCCATTTGGTGGAGAAGCAAATTGACCATTTTTATTGCGAAATATAACTTGTGATTGTTTAGAATCAATCGTATTCGTTTCTTCAATTGTTGTTTCTAAAAGAAATCTATGAATAATGTTTTGTTTTTATTATTGATTTAAGTTAATACGTTTTTCTTGTTTTTGAATGATACTATTTGCTGAATGAATTTTACGTAGAAGACGTTTATCAGTTTGACGTAAACGTGTAGAAATGACTATATTCATCTGCGGTGATGCTGTTGTTTGTTCATCTGGAACATTAGCAGTTGGAATTGTTTGGATCGAAATAAGATCAGTATTTGTAACAGATCTTGTTATAGATGAATTTTTTTCTAGAAATGCACCTTTACCAAGTCTAAAATATATTCATATTCATCATAATGAAAGTAAGATGTAGACAAATTAAATTACATTTCACAGCTATGACATTCACAATGTGAATTATTATCACCGAAAAAATCCGATCCATAACAACAAGTTATTTCATTACCAATTTCAATCGGACGAAGTACATGAATATAAGCTGAACTTAAACCTGTAGCTACAAACTAGAGCAAAACATACTATAATATCTTAATATACATATCTAATGAAGTAATTTACTTTGCAATTTGCGCGACAATCATGATTGATATAAGCTAAATGAAAAAAGACAAAAAAAAGTTATACTACACAAATAATTTATCATTTAAATACCGGCAGGTCCAAGCCATAATTGCGAACATTTTTTACGACATGAATACATAACTGAAAAATCATTGATACCTGGTTTCAAGAAAGCTTGTTCTTCTTCAGGACTTAATTCAGCAATGCATCCAATTAACATTTCAATTTTATCATTGACAGCCCTAAGACATTAATTCATTATTAAATATACCGCTATTTACAAGAAAAAAACAAAAGCTTCATATTTTATTAAACAATTTTAGACTTTCAGTTTTCTTTTTCTGTCGTTGTTCGATATGAAATGAGCAAGGAGATGACCTAATAAACATGTGGCTATTCTTCTTGTTTATATACAATAGAAACTTGTTAATGTGAGCATCACTGTATTCAGTCAGAAGTGTTGGCTTGACTAAGGTGTTCATTTTTGCGAAGTTTTCACTTTCTTTTTTGGTAATCTAACCGGTGCTTCAGAATACATTGGTCTCTTAGGATTTTTTCAAGGGACTCAACTTTTAATTTTCTACGATATTTTATATTTATTAATGAATGAATACTTCCTAGTTTTCTGATATACAATATCAAACAGTAATACTTTCTAGTTTTACCTTTCCCTAAAAGTTTCGTTATCACACGTATTCAGTGTTCAAGATCTGTCTTTGTTTGTTATTGACAAATTTCTATTGACATTGAATAAACTAACTAATTAAAACATTGATTATTCGACGATTAAGAATTCTAATCGACATCAGACACAAGACTATCATGATATTATCATTGAGTTACATGATGGTATATGACTTTATTTTATTAGATATATTTGAATTTTCTACAATTGTTAAATTTCTTATTCGTATCGTTTACGAAGTGTAAATATAATGCTTTGATGTTACAAATATCGAGTGACTATAGTTCTTACAAGTAACTAAGAATTTTAGCAATCAAATGAACAATCATCAATTGACATTGAAATGATGTATGGATGGATATGTATCAACTTGGTTAAAAGAAAAATTTCGAAAATATTTCAAATGTCATTTAGTGATTCTGTTAAGGGTGGATTGTGACTGTGAATGTAGGAGTAGGTATGAAGAAAAGACTGATATCTAAATGTACAGCTTCACACGAATACTTACACTCATCCAGATAAAGAAACGTATTATCTTATAGTTAATATTGTTCTTGAATATTTTTTATACACTATTATCGTTTGTTAATGTACTTATACATCTGTCACTTCTTTTTGTTTGTAATAAAATATCTTTATCTTGCTGGTTGAGAATCTCAAAGTAAATGTTTTTTGACATTTTTTCTTTTGGCCAAATTTACACCATGCTATAGAGAAATGACAGCTGTGTGTCCTTATGTCGATAAGGACCATTAAAGGATGTTCTATAAGTTTTAGGATTCAATAAAAAGTAATTTATCTGTAAACGAAAAGTGATCCCTATCCAATTATATCCATGTGAGCTTCGAGTAATTCAGACGATGTTTTAAATGCTATATTATCCGATGACATTATGTCTTCTAATAATAATCATTTAAACAGAAGAAACAGAATGATTACGGTGTAGGTAGCGAGAATAGTCACATCCATACCCTAGATATTACGTTACGTTTTGTATAATTGTGTGATGTTACATACAATGAATTCATGACCCATTAAAACTTCTTAAAAAAAAGTACTGGTTGAGTTAGAGATTTTAATAATCAAGTTTCTTCTGTTGATGTCACTATTATTAGAAGAGATCATTCCATACAAAGCATGTTCCTAAGTACTCGAAGCTTATACAGATATAATCGAGTAAGAATAACTCTTTGTTTATATTTAAAGTAATTTGCTTTGAGACGCAAAACTTATGCTATACGCTGTAGTCTTTGAATGAGCAATGCACTGATTAATATGTAATGCAAAGATTTTTGCAAAAATTGCCAAACTCTGGTATACCGTGTTGCCGACTTCTAAACCAATCAAACATTTTTTTGTTAGAACAAGCAATGTCTGAACTATAAATTTTGTATTAGACATATTTTTTCAGAACGAATCTGACGAGGAAAAAAAGTCCGAAACCAAACTCCTCTAAGAAAGTTTTTACAACGTTGTTCCAACTTGAAGAGTCTGTATCTTTAAATTAGTTTGAGTTACATGAATGAATCAAATTGGAACAAAAGTATATGAAAATGTAGCGCATTAAAGACTATCATATTTGGCAAATCTTTTGCGATATGTCTTCGAGTCATTAATAAAAAAAGTTGAAAAATGAAATTTTAAGTAAAATACAGCCTTTTTTCGAGAAATATCATTTTGCAAGAAAATTAGCCGTCATCTCCAGAAATCATGCATGAACTGAATTCTTATTGCGTTAGATATTAGAAATATTTCAGATAATAGAAATTTAGCAGAGATAACAATTTTTTACCGTTACAAAACGGTCAGATCGTAAGAACAACCAATTTATTCAGTCTTTTTTTTAGAACAAGCTATGTTTTAGTATACAAATCACGAGTAAATTTAACCTCCGATACATCATTGAAAAGAGCACTATTTGCGCTACCAAAATTAACATTAAATGTATTTTTTCATTTTTCTTCTAATTTTGAAAAAAAAAAACAATTAACCGAAAATAAAAAAAAATGCTGTTGCTCGGCAGTGAAGTTGCAAGAACCTTTTTGAAGGTGTTTTGTTTCGGATGTTTCCTTCTATATCAGATTCGTTCTGAAAAAATATATCTGATACAAAACTTGTTGTTCAAACATTGCTCTTTCTAACAAAAATGTGTTTGATTAGTTTAGAAATCGACAATATAGTATAACATATTTTGATATTTTTGAAAAGATTTTTGCGTCGCATATTAATTAGATTATTCAATATCAATCGAACTTTGTCAGTAACAAACAAGCACATATTACAATCAAAAACAATGCCGCTTGAACAATTAATACGTGTGATGACGAAACTTTTTGGGGAAAGATACAGCTAGAAAGTATTACTTTTTGATATTGTATATCAGAAAACCAGGAACCATTTGTTCATTAATAAAAATATACAATTTTGTCGAGAATCAGAAGCTAAATCTGTTAAAAAAAATACTAAGAAGACCATTTATGCTGCCGTACTTGTTATAAGCATTCAGTTGCAATCATTTTTCGTGCTGCACAATAATCATCTTTTTCTTCTTTCCAACAATTATATGAATTCAACGTTTTTAATTAAAGATAATTCAGCATGTATTGACATGATGCAATGTTACACCAAGCACTGTTACTATTGTCTAATATTGTTTCTTTTTCTTTTCAATTTCCACAGTTAGTCCATTCCTTTTTTATATGCATTCTCTGATTGTTTATTATCACGAATTATGCATAATATATCCTTTCTTTTTCATCCTGCGCTTGAGTAATAGAATATATGTTCCCCACATTACAAAGATTTATTGTTTATGGTAGAAAAAATAAATGTCTACTATTCAGAATAACGAAGTGTTCATATTGAAAAGATTCGTTCGTTAGGAAGAACTATAGACTGTCCAATAATAAGAAGGTGATCACATAAAGAGATTCTATTGTATAAAAATTAAACTGTATCATTCTCTTCTATTGAAAGTAACTATTATCTATTCATATTACATTATTAAAGTAAAACTGTGAGGTTAACTACCACCATAAAGTGTGAAACAATGATACTCAAGGGAGTTCTCTATGCATAATATTAACAAATTAGAACTAATACATTTCGTTGATCATCAAGGAAATCGTGAACGATCATACGTTCTCAATATCAAAGAAAAAAAAGAAAGCTGTTGACCAATATATTTGTTGTAATAATCAGATATTACTTAAATAAAAAAAAAAAACATTCAATCAAAAAGCAAACAAACATTGTTCAACCATTTATTCTTTGTTGTTTCATAATGAAATTTCACGAAAACTAATCACTTTTTAAATTAATGAAAAGAATTTTAAAACATTAATATTATAATAAATTCTAAATTGTTTATAAAAGTAGGATATTGTTGTCTTTTTTACGATTTCTTTCAAAGGTAAATGAGTAACTCGTAAAACAAGGTGTGCAATTTTTTTTTTTTGGCAAACAATCTATCTTACCATTCTTTTGTAGCAACTACTTTTCCTCCGACATTTTCTGTTGAATAACGATGGCATGGTTCAAGTGTAACACCGGAATTTTTATTGAATAAATGTAAAAAACGAAACATCTAAATTTTTTTTTTAATATTATCTAATATTTATTCTATTTTTTACTTACATGTTCTTTAAATGCAGTTAATTGTGCTGAACTTTTACGTGCAAGTAAATGATCATACCAATTTCCAATTGAAGTCAATTCAGTAAAACATTGTTCATAATCAAGATGTTGTTGAAATTTTTCTATAGCTGATTTCCATTGTGGTGATAAACGGCGGTTTGGTCGAAAACGAACATTCATTTTATGTGTTGTAAATCCAAACATACTATCGACAATGATCATTGTTGCAAGATCATCGTTCTCACTAAATAAAAAATAAACAGGGAATAATTGACTGAAGAATTCAAATAAGAATTTCTACCAGAGATCAGCTACTGCTCGAGGTATTCCACTGTACATGATGATAAATATTTAATTACAAAAAAATACAATCAAAATTTCATAGATTCATTATAATATGAAAAGACATTATTCGAGTAAAAGTAGTTTGAGTCTAAAATGAATATAGTACAGCAAAAAAAAACAAGAGAAGCCGTAAATAAAGATTATTTTCGCATTCATACAATTTTTGCAACAAGGATGCCGAAAAAGAGACGTTTTTTTTGTCAACTAAGTAGAAACTTTTGTGACCAATACCGTTGCGTTGTGAATCATCCACAGCGTATGCATGGTTGACACTAGCTGACATCTACTTAGTGCTATACACATAGTTCATAGTGCTCGACATTGATAGAAGCTTTTATAATGATCTACTTTTGAGATCTCAACGATTTCAATTGACGTTTTAGTTTTTTCCCATTAAACATATTTCGACAGAAAAAAAAACATCATTTACTAAATAGGATTCATCATTCAGTAGCGTGGTATTGAGTAAAACTTTTATGTAATAGTCGTCAACAGTTTGTTAGATTCAGTTGGAAATTCGACGTTAATATGAGACTTGTTCCTTTAATAGATTGTTTCTTAATAAAAGCACGATCAGTGAACAAAATCTAGGTATTCAATATAATTCATGATTTATTTTTACGACATAGAACATCTGCAATTTTCGAGGCATAGGTCGAATCGAACCTAGTTTTACTAGTTCGAGTTCGGTTCAGTTCGTTTTTGGTTTCTGTTTTGGACACAGTTCAATCTAGCATAATGACTATGAATAAATCTCTAGGAAACTATAAAAAAAGCCTCCAAAGGTTCGGATTTACGCCGTATTGGGAAAGACTTATGATTGTTTTGTTCAATTCTTTAGTCAGAGTAAGGTATTTCTGAAAATATCAAAATGAAGAATTTGATCTTGAAATGTCACTTATGTATAGAGCTTATAATCATTAAAACATTCTAGAAGTTTCAAAGAAAATGAATCTGTCGTTCTCGAGAGATACTCAACTTTCCAGTGGACTTGACTATTGCGTTCATTAGTGGTAAGATCCTGTTTGTTTTGGGGATTGAATATCTTGAGGAAGACGCGTTCATTTTCTTTGAAACTTTCAGAATATTTTCATGATCATAAGCTGTATCCATCGACAACATTTCAGAATCAATTTCTTCGGGGTAAAATCTTATCGCCAATTCCTCATTCCGCCAATTGTAGTTTTCGCCAATTGGCAAATATATACTAGTAATTCGCAAATTGGCGAACTTCCTTACGATATTCGCCCATTGGCGAATACAGTAATACGAAAATATTTTATTTATTTGCGAATGTCACACTAGTAATTCGCCAATTGGCGAACACAGTAATATGAAAGTATTTTATTTATTGGCGAATATACATTTGGCGAAATCACAGAGACTCTATCAGATCAAATATTGTCCGGCAATTAGGAATGCTTCCTCGTTAGACGTTTTTAAACAATACCAGGCTCTGTAATATGTCAAATATGTTTTACTTCAATAGCACAATGTTTCGATTTTTAACAAACAGTTGTTCATAGTGAAATATACTTTGTCTTCAGCAATCAAGTTTGACCTTTCTGAACAATTCAACGATGTTAAAATGATATCTTCAAGATCGAAGCAAGATTGAAAGTAGTGTAAGACTTGGTAGGTTTGTACTTGAGACAAGTGAAAATATCAAACAATACCCGAAGTCTTGTTTATGATAGCTCTATGTGAAAATTGGCAAATCGCAAGTACAAAGTCGTTTCAACTATGGAACCATCCATTGAATTAGTTCTAATCATTTTCAGTTGAAAAAAATCATCACTCGTAATGTATCCAAACAATTAGTTGATTCTCAACAGGTTAAATAGGTTCGAATATATCAAAAAAAGAATTCAGCAAAATTTCAGCAAGAAACTCGGACATTATGCGATGTGAATGACAGATAATGAGTCGTGACTTCAGCATAAATGAATTGACTGAAAATCACCGAACGTTGCCTAAATAACAAGTGGAGATCCTCCAATAGAACTTATTTGACGCAGTTGTTTCGCTCTAAGAACCTTGCTATATATTTTCTCTAAGTTAACTGGTCCAGTTTTAATCCATCATATTGAGCGAGGACAAAATGTTGATCAAAGTATTACATTAGTATATGTGTACAGTTCGTTATCAGCGAAATCAAGAATCAAAAATCCTTTTTTGGTATTCATGCAACTAAATTTCACTAAAATAATGATAAGCCACATATAAAGATGTATCTAATTACCTCGTATCAGAATAAATCAGAATAATAGTTCGAGTCTGGTACCATTTGGTCGTATCTAGCCAAATCTGAGAGAGCAAAACGATTTCGAATCGTTGTATTATTGTATGAGCAAATTCATGAACTTGTTGAACAAATTGATGTCGTTATAGTCGCCTGATCTAACGGTTTCTATTAAAACAAGTCGCGATTGATCCACAATTATTAAAACAATTAATGAATTAGTAACTCTAGGCATTTTTTTTTATACAAAAATTCCCAAGAAATCATGTCGGGGATCCCATGAGGATTCCTTTCGGAATCTTATTACGAGAGCATTACGATTATTGTAAACTTTTGTATTCGATGACATTTATTGTTGTATTCTTATGAGCTTCTCATAAATGCGAGGAATTAGGTTTTTCTTTCTTTTTCTCGTATATTTAAAAAAGTAATTTTTATTTCAATCATACTCACTGATGAAATTACCATTTATATTAATCTAAATAAATAAAAACATAATTTATATTGTAAAATGATACTTACTAATGAGATTGATATTGCTTGCGATTATTCTAAAGACGAAAGAATATAATATATTTGATAAACTAATACTTATTAATGAATCTGTTGCTGTGATTAATCTAAATAAAAAAAAGATTATAATTTATTTTATGAAATGAGACTTACTGATGAAACTGTACAGAAAACAATTTAGTTCTTAAAATAATATACTTACCGCCTAAGTTATAAATCTAGCTTCTCTAATAAAATAAACATGAATTATACAAGAACTGAAAAAAAAACAAATTGATTCATACTAATTACATAGTAAATATTAAGTCCGAAGGTTCTATCAGATACTATGCAATGACAATACTGAAATTATGTTTTAACACGAAATCATTAAAATTTAGTTTTTATTGCTTTCAGAAATAAAAAAACAATATTCTACAAATCATTTTTTTGTAGATAATTCTTACCTCGTTGTTTTCTGAAATATTGCGATTAATCGTCAAAACTTAAGGGATTTTAATGAAATGAAAAGATGGATATTACAAAGAAAAACCTTCGATAAATAAATCGAGCTTTTGGAATTATGTATAAACAACTAACATGACTCCCTTATACATTTAATGAACTACCTTAGTGAATGTACTGAGTTCAAGGTAACCATATAGTAGGTCAGTTTTCAGTAGGATATCTTGTCAAGTACTGTATCATCAGTATGTCACAGGCTCTCGGTTGGATACTTTGCTGAGAATTGTCTAATTACATGGGTACTTACTAGGTATTTGCTCAGGTATCTACCCAGTATCTATAGAATTTTATGGAAAATTTGTCAACATGTTAGTAGATTGAACATTTAGAAGCATTTTGTAGGCAAATGTTTAAAACTCGTACAGTAGTGTCATATACTGGTAGCAGGATATCTTGAACTCAGCACATCTACAAGAGTAAAAACTTGACAAATTCGGTCCTAGTTTTTGCTTTCAATAAGTCGCCATTACTTTTATTATGCTCTCCACATTTAGAGGTGTAAGCCGAAGGGCCAAACAGCCGCGGCGCCTTTAACGGTCAATTTTTTTTTGCATAGCGGCGGCGCCTCCTAGACTTTATGTTTTTGTACACCGGCAGCGGCGGCGTCATTTTTTATTTTTTCTTCCAAAGCGGCGGCTGTTGCTAGACTTTATGTTTTTCTGCACCGGCGGCGGCTTTGACAACCAAAAAAAGAAAAAAAACGTCTTTGCATATGTATCGATGTCAACGGCGGCGGCGCCTTATACTATTATCAAAAGTTTTCGTTCGTGACGGCGGCGCACCGGCTGAACTTACTTTTTCACAGCGGCGGTTCCTAAAAAATTCTTAAAATTATCTACGATTCCGAGGCGGCGACGGCTCACTTTTCAAAAAAATCGGCGGCGGCTTAGACCGGCGGCTTACACCTCTACCTATATCCATAGCATGTCATCTTGAATCATTATGACATTCATTATTTAAGTAAGGATCATTTGAGTTGTTTTTAGGCATATGCTAAACAATATATATTTAAGTTTCACCAATGGTGTGCATTATCAACTAAAGAAAATCTTGATGATATTTTCTTCAGAATACATTGTTATCGTCTTTAAAAATCTTAAAAGGAACATAGAATGACACTATCAGTAGTTTACTACCTACTATTGGCATGCTATCAATTATTTAAAACTAACTGCGAGAATAAAAAAAGAGTAATATGTGCTATTCTAATTGCCACCTTGACTGTTTCTGTATACACATCTTTCTATAGTCATCGACTAAAACTTATTCATTTTATCATCAAACATAGATACAGAGCCATTTCTTAACATTTTTTGAATAAAAAAATGCATTTTCAACGAATCAAGAATACTAAAATATGATTATTTAATCATTCTTATTAATTATATTTTGTAGAAGTTTTGAAAATACTTCAAGTAAAAGAAGTTAAAAGTCACGCACAAAAAGAAAAGAACTTCATTTAGCTTTCAGGTATAATTTGTTTAAATTAAATGTTTTATTTTTTAAATAATACGAAATGAATCTGTATATTCAAGATCTAAATGATTTATATTGTTTATTATACAATCAGTCCATCTATTGAAAAACCTCATTGAAATTTTACTAAGAAAACTAATATAACACAAATGGATATTTCTCTATTGTATCTGAATTGATTAACATTAACGTTGTCATATCTATATAAAAACTTATAATTTATTTTTGGCGAACAATAAGGTCAAATTGTATTTATTGCTATTCCTGTTGATGAAATTATATTCAGTAAATCTACTGGTTTTCTATTACAGTTTAGTAAAAATGTTTTCCAGTTTCCAGATTTTTTTGTTTGAACGTATCGTCGTTGAAAGCAGTCAGAGATAACAACAACAAAAATATTTTGGTATCTAAGTCATTGTTAAGGACCATTTAAATGCAATTTTAGTCAAGTAAATTCGTCTTCATATATGTTACTTGTAGTGATTAGGAATGTACCCTTATCTAAAATATTCAGAATAGGTACAATATGAAAATGGAGTTATCGAATGAACAGTAAAGAAATTTCGTTTTTGACGTGATCAATATCAACTCATGAAAGTTAAATCGTATTCCGTCGTTTGTTTTCATTGTCAGCACACTTTCTTTAAAAACTTATTTTGCTGAGATTCAAGAACTAAATTCACATAAACTCTTACTTCTATCATAAATAAATAATTCAAACTCAACTAATTAATGAACTGTTTGGCATTTAATAGCACATCGATCATTTGGTTTATTTTGAAAGCAAAAGTCTTCAACATATCCCTTGTATTAAAATGAATTTCTAATAGAAAAAACAAATAAAACTGTTACATATGATTTTATTTATATATATTTAGTAATTATTATTCTTATGTTATATTCGACAAAATTTTAATAATGATGATTAAGATGTTGTTTTTCTTTTGCATAGTATAAAATGGCATTTTGTTCATCAAAAATTTTCTTTCTTATCATTGTATATGTCTATTTCAAAGATTGCAAGATTACTTATATAATTCGAATATTTATCATCATCAATAGGCATCCTTGTCTTAGTTGATTTAGGATAAAATCATACGGCAGGGTGAAAATTGTTTCCGACGCCATCGAACACACATGATAAAGCATTTCAGTCTAATCAAAACCAACATTGTGATCAGTAATCATTGCTGATCATTGACCGTTTGTACCGAAGACCAGAATCCTTTTTTTTTCAATCAAATGTACATGTGTACGTTCAATGTGCTTTAACAATAAGTCACACTGATATCTCTCACAAATCATGTGATTTTTGAAAAACTAACGTCCAAATAGAAAAAATTTTGTTATAAGACTATCCACTGTCGGGAGAGAACGATGCAAACTCGAAAATTATATATGAATAAAATTATGTGAACGAAAATGATCTGAATAAATGATTCGGAAGCGAAATTTTCAGTTTTGATTCAAAGATGAATCTAGTCAATATTTTCAGTACTCTGCATAGAACAATCCGACCAATCTCTGACTGTAATCTCTTACGTTTCATCCTGCTAAATAATTTTTTGGTATAATCTGCTTCTCTGTGTAAAATGTAATTTCTTGCTTATGTGCATAGATATTCGCTTGAAAAGAATGCGCGAATATTTTGTAAAAATAGTTGTATTTCAGTACAGGAGAACTGTTGCATGCGCTAGCAATCAAACGTATTAAAAATGCATAAACATGTAGGTCTCAATTGTAAAATGTAAAATTCGAACTTAAATATTTTACTTAATAAAATAGCTTTATTACGATTTGACCATCTACATATATTATTATTCCATTTAAAACTGCTACATTTACTTTTGATTAAATATTTTGTTGCTAAAGAACTGATTTATTTTTAATAAGAAATATAGGATGTTTCATAAGTGTTGAGTCACCACAAACTTAGTTTATATGCAGACTGGAAATACATTCTAGGCAAATATTTTTTATATGAATCTCAAGTAATCATGTCAATCTTTCAAATGACATATTATTAAATAGTGTCTTCTCTTCTAAAAAATAATAATATAAACATGACTTTGTGAGGATTTATTTATCTTATTTTCTTATTCCGCGCTCATCATGATCCACTGATTAAATGCTCAATTAAACTATGTACTCAGTAATCGGATTGAACTGGATAAAATATATGAAAACGTTGAGTGTAGAACGAAATATACAAAGAACAATGATTGTATTTTGAACTATTGATGTATTAATTAATAATCGAGTTTCACATTAAGAAGATGACGATAAAATTGCTGATGTATGACCTACTGAAAGTGTAAAACGAAAATCAAAGAAAAAAAAAAGTACTAGAAAAATCATTTTCAAACTTTAAACAAGATTATCTTATTGATCGATTGCGAAAAATTTATCGCTGCATTCCTATATTTATTATTAGAAGAGAAGATATTATCCTATAATTTGTCATTTGAAAGACTGACACGAGTACTCAAGTCTCATAGAAAAATATCCGATTAAGGATTATTTTCTGTCTGCACGTAAACTAAATTTGTGGCGCCTCAAGACTTATAAAACATCATTTATAGTTTTTATTTCAATCCAACCACTGTTTAGCTAAAAACAATTGTAAAGACTGAAAGAACTGAAAATGTAATATTGCTAACTATGAACTCCCTTTTGTTCTTTTTTTACAAAAAACTGTCAAATTTCAATTATATTATTTTCTCGAACTCGATAAAAATACTTCATTCTGATTCAGCATCAAAACATATCACATATACTTTGATAAACTTGTTGTCCTATGAAAAAATAGACTTGAGGAGCGTTACAAATACATTTTTCAGTTTTTCATCTAGTTTTGCCGCCTAATTAGGAAAAAAATTAAATTTTCTTCGTAACAATAAAAATAAAATTAAAAACCAACTAAATGGATACTTCTGTAGCTCATGACCTAGCGACTCTAATGAGTTAAAACATTTGTTTCTATCCTTTATTTCAAGAAAAATAGAGAGGCTTCGAAGAATATTCACAAATACGTGCTATGAACCATATTGCAGCTATCTATATTGGAAAGGAGTTTTTATAACTTGATTAACTGTAACTGTGATCAAATAACATATTTCTATTCAAGTTTTGATGTTCAATCAGAATAAAATATCTTTATAAAATTCAATAAAATAATATAATTGAAATGCGAGAATTCCTACAAAAAGACAGACAGAGTTCATGTTTGCCAATGCTATATTTTCAGTCATTAGAGTTTTTTACAGCCAAATAGAAAAAAAAATCTACTCGCATTTTGTATTATGCACACCTTAATTTACGTGGAAGAAACGATGCATATTCTGATTATTTCTTAATTGACAATGTTCTGTACTGTTTTCACTTGAACAACTAAACTAGAAATAGAAAGATGACATAAGGCAGATAGAAAACATCACGTACGATGTTTTTCTGATCTTATTAAAGCACATCAAAGGATTTCCATTTTGGAAGTCGAATTACCAATAAAAACAACACGCAGAAGTTAGTTTTTTCAAAATTACACTACTAAAACGTTTCCTCAATGTTGTCAATGTCATTAGATAAATATAAAATCCACAGCTTGGCTCCAAATAGACAGTCATACGTATAGTTAATTCAATCCAATTGGCTTTGTTTGAAACTCTTGTCTCATATGTTTGTTTATTGATTGTAAGAAGTCGATAGAAGCTATAAGCAGCATAAGGAAATGATGTTAATACAGTTACAATTATTTCAGTAATAATCATCAATGTCAATTGTTTTTCAACTTGATATTGACTTGATCGTCGATTATCGACACAATGATGACACATTTGAACAAATTGACGATTTTGATCATAACGACGATTATGTAAACAGCGAAAGGTTGGTAATGTTCGAATATTTTTCAATGTTAGTATACCGAACAGAATCATCAATATCGGTAAAAGAAGACAATGAATGATAGTGACCCATACTGTCCAAAGAGTAAGATTTTGAGCAACACAACCTTGTGAACGAGTAATAATTGTGTAATTGAATACATGCTGAAGAGAAACAATGGCCCAAACAAAACATGAGATCAAACTGAGCTTGAATGCATTTGAAAGATGACAGAAATAGTCGGCAATTTGATGACAATAACTTTGTTGCTGATGTTTCCTTCGTCGCCAACTCGAACCTAATCGATTGATCGAAGCAAGTAAGAGCATTTGAAATGTCATACTAGCGCTTAGCATGTGGAAATAAATGCGTAATTTACATACGATTATATCGAAATCGGGCACAATATTGACTGATAAATTGGATTGAGTTTTTTCAATTGTTGACCATCCAACACTAGCATCGATCCAATCGGACGATGTAAAGACATTGGCAAGAAGCCGATGAAGTGGCAAATTATTGATAGTAATAAAATTGCTGAATGTTGCAACAAGAATAAAGACACTGCACGCACAAGAACGAAGAGGTTTTTGAAGAAAAAATCCTACTTTGAGTAGATTACCAATATTGCCAAAAGTAACAAAAAAAAGATTCGCATAGATATTCAAATAGCGAGTATTAAAATCAAGTTTATTATCATTACCAATTGAATTATTCATCATTTTTTGGTTTTCATTAGCCAAGAAAAATAGACGTAATAAGTATATTAAGAAGATTCTGGATTGTCGTTAATAGAAACTACAACAAAACTTCCAATAATTGTTCGTGTAGAATAAATATTGGCAGATAGAAGATGTTCAATGTTTTGTTCTTTTTCTTCTCTCAAGTTAATGTTCGAAAGTGATGAATGTTGTGTTCTCTCTAATTGTGTACTCAACAGGTGTAGTAGTTATTATCAAAAGAAGAAAATGTTACTATATGACAGTTTTTGTAAAAGAAAAAATTTGCGCGTCATTGATGCACATGAATGGCATGTTAGAGTCGACATTCTTTTTTTTTTCATGACAATTAAGTCTATCCTTCTTGCTTTATGACGTGCGATTCTTTTTTACATTTATTTACGTTGCCGACCATGGACGAAACATGGAAGCTGAATTGTGATGAAATTTATGTGTATTTCTTCATTCTCTCTCTTTCTATAATATGGGAGCGAAAGAAAAGGAAGATTTCAAAGAGAAAGATGGTAGACAGGTAAATAGAAAGGTTGGGAAAGCATACAAAAAAAAACACAAGACCAGAACAATGATAGGTGGTGTGCCAATTTTTGTTTCATACAATGACAACGTCAATGTGCATCAACTCAATCTCGTCAATCAAGAACTATTCGTGTTCGAAATATTGAATAGAGAGAAGAGAATACTTCACTTGAAAATTTTATATATGCGACTATACGAGCAAACATTGATGAATTCAATAGATTCGCAGAGCAAAGTTAACAAGAATGGATGATTCAACATGAATGTTTATCAGATATTATCACGTTCGTTTCGACTATTTCTTGATCGATCTTCGTTATTGATCACAATGAACTATTAGTTTGAGATTCTAATTGTTCTTCAAAAAGAACACGTAATTCAATGCAAATGTTTCTCTTCATCCAAGAGTTTATATTCTAGACGAATCATGTCAGGACATTGTCGAATAACTCTGTCTTCATCTATTTGTTCAAGTTTGACAGAACTCTAAAATTTCAATGATTTGATTATCGTCTTGTCATTTTGCGCTACTCCATAATCAATCTGGACAATATTATGATGTCGTCTTTGTCACTCAAATCATTGTCTTGTATCTTTGAAGTGAACAAAATCTTCGTCATTCGTTCGTTTGTCAACAAGTAAATATGTGATTTTAAATAGTGGAAGACTTTCTGTACTAATCAATCATGGATCTTCAATAATAACATCATTTCAAGAGTCATCGAAATTAATTTCTGAATGAAACTTCTCTGTTGACACTTTGTATACATTCTACCCTCGCTAAATCAAGTAGTTTGATGAGAAATTATGATTCAAATTATTGAAGAACTTAAGATGTGTAAATATAAGTAAGTCTGATGACTATTCGAGTTATCGAACCATAGAAATGTCTAATGAAAACAAAAAGGTATCCAAGATTTTAAAAGTAACAGCTGATTTAGTTGAAAAAAAAAGCTTGCACGATCAATATGTAACTTTTCATATCATATTTAAATTGCATCAATCTATTTCGAATTCTGTGTGTTGACAAATTGAAAGATAAGTATGGGCTGGTACAATTCATAATGATCAATAACAAAGATCGGAGAGACGCCTCATTTATCTCGTCTCGCCTAGTGACGAGATGAAACAGCATGGCAGACGTATAACTTGTCTCATCTAATCTTGATTACTACATATGCATTGAGAAAAGTAGCTGACAAATAATTTATGCAGACAAGATTTTTTCGCCGAATTCTCGAACGATGAAAGAGTTTGACATTTATTTGTCTCATGCATATACTTATGCTTCGCAACACTCAATTCATATCTATTGGTAGCCAGCTCCTGTCAAAACTCACCTACATTCCTATAATTTTAAATGGATGTCTAAATAATAGAGACTTCATTCAAAAATTTCAAGGTTTAGTTATGATCTTGACTAGAAATATCGTTGTCATCTACATCTCATATTTGGAACAATAATCGTATACTATTTTGGTGAGCATTTCCTTTGAATCTTTGAGGAAATTCAGAGCACACCATAGCTAATGAGTTTAGTCAGAAAGCTTTTCACTTTGGTTTAGAAAACTTGTGAAAAGTTATTCGCGCAGTTTCTGTAAGACAGAGAAGTCTACATGGATTAGTCAACTTTACACCAGATATTGTCGTCTCGATTATTGTTGTCGAGTTCTGTAAGACTGGCGACACCATATGACATGAAGAGCGGAACATGCATAATGCATGACAAGACGAGGCTAAGTTTTGACTGTCTTGTGAATCTCTGATTAATAAGCAATGAAGTGTCGAAAATTTTCGTTATTTTTGAACTTGGCCATGGACACACTGAAAGAATAAAATCGAAATAGTTTCGGATCATCCCATGTGCAGTTAACTATAAAAACACGCAAGTCTACAAATAGAACGGTTAAACAGAATCAATTTTGTGGAGTTTTTATGCTTGTTTTATTTTCTTATTTTATTGTATATAAATATGAATCGAATGTTTCGATGTCTTCTGATATTAAATATCTACCATCATCAGTTTGTTGTTGAAAATAATAAACTATCACTTAGACAAACCAAAAATCAAAACTACTCTAGTAATAACAATAATAATAATATTCTTAAACAATAAATCATTGTTTTCATGAAGGATGTACGTGCTCGTTATCCTTTCAACAATATATATGAAGGCCACACACCCATTAATTCGGTCACACTTGTATTGAAGACAACAATATTCATTTTGATCATGGGAAAGATTAACTATTAACAACAATGAATTTTTATGTTGAATTAATCGATGGTTTTGTTCTGCTCTATTCAATGTTCTCTATGAATGCATTGACTCTCAACCAGTAGATATTCTCTGAACTGAAGAGTGTGAATGTGACTCTACTCTTTATCGATGCCCCCTCCCCTCTTTCCCCGACTCTTATTTTTCATGAATATCAGTTTTATTGAAAACTATTATTTTTATTACTACAATTTTTTTTTAAATAATTTTATATCTATATTAATTCTAGAGATCTTATGGTCAATGTTTGAATATTTAAAATTAAAAACTTAAAATAGAAAGCATTTCGGGTTTTTTAACATTCATATTTTTCTGTGTATTATTCATACTTGAAACATTCAATACACCTGCACCCATACTAGAGCCTGTTGGGCCCGAAAATTTTGGACTCGGACCTGATCCGTACTCATAATATGCTCAATGATTTCTTTTTATCTGTCTTGATAGTCGCTTCGAAGATACGAGATACTTTTTCTTGCTAAGTTGGATTTTGTTTTTCTCTATTATTATTTCGATAGAAATTGAAAAACTCTATATATTAGATATTCTCGATTTCTAAGAATGATTGTTATATTATAATCATATTAATCAATTTCATCATAAATTTTTTTTTTTTTTATTAATGATCTGTGAATATATTTCCAGCTGTCCGAATAATTTTACTTTCTTCAATAAAGCAATTATTTTTATTATCAAAATTAAAATAAATATTATTATCATCATTAATAATTGTTATAAATAAATTTGTATAAAATTATTGATGAAAGAAATTCTTTTTAAGCGAATTATTCTTGTTTATTCATTAATAAAAAAATAATAATCTGGTGAATTTATTAAATAATATGTAATATTTCCATTTACAATAGAATTTTCACTTTTTACATTTAACCGAAATATAATCGTATCGAGTTGAATTTGTTTATTTATAGCAATCGAATAATTCTCCGTATGAAATTTCAGTTCATAATCATTTATATCTATTATACATTAAATTTATTTATTTCTTAAATACTTTCTTTATTATTATTATCAATTGCTGTAATATCATATTGTAATTCTGATTGGATTGATAAAATTCTCTATCGAGTTTATCATACGGCTTGTCCAAGCGTAACGCTGTGACGTTTTTGAAACTTTTTTTTGAAATATCTCGAAAACTATAGTAGCTAGAAAATTTGTCCAAACGCCATTCGACGCAGCTCGACGAATTGTATTTACACTATAAATTTGACTTTATTAGGTAAAACTCTCTAGTTTCCAGAAACGGTTTATAGTCACGTAACACTGTGACATAAAAGGACCCTGAGTTTCCAACGCTCTGACTCATCTTTCAATTCTCTGCGAATGATTGTCTCCAATTAAAACAGGCCTGAAATCAACTTTGTAGAGCATAAAACGAGCTATCAAATGGTAAAAAAAATTTTTCCTCTAGATATTGTTATTCGTAAAAAAACCAACGTAACGCTGTGACATTTTGCGTAACGCTGTGACACGATTTTCTTCGTTATGACATATTAAGTCTTTCTTCAATGTTCAAGGTGCTTCACTTGTTCAGAATGACTTCCCTTTTAGATATCTTAATCTTTCGTATCTTAGTCATCTTTTCACGCAAGAATCAGGTGGATCTATAGAACCTTTAGTTCATAAACCACACACTAAATCAGGAAATGTTTCGGATCCTGTGACTCCCAAGTATCTACGAATGACAAAACCAAATAGACCATTTNAACGTCTTTGCATATGTATCGATGTCAACGGCGGCGGCGCCTTATACTATTATCAAAAGTTTTCGTTCGTGACGGCGGCGCACCGGCTGAACTTACTTTTTCACAGCGGCGGCTCCTAAAAAATTCTTAAAATTATCTACGATTCCGTGGCGGCGACGGCTCACTTTTCAAAAAAATCGGCGGCGGCGGCGGCTTAGACCGGCGGCTTACACCTCTATCCACATTATTATTATATCAATTGAAGAATGATGAAATGTCGTAGAATTATAGAGAACTGTTGGGATTATCATTATATATAGAGAAAAGGTGTTCTTGATCCTTCTATAGGGTATTAGAATGCTAGAGCTATCGGCTGTGATAAATCTCCAGTACCTATTTCTTTAATTCGTATGGAAAAACAAAATATCTTCTCAAGTCCAAATATTTCAATTGAATTTAACTTAAAGATTTGATCATAACTCAAACGAAATCACAAGTTTAAATCCAACTTTCGTTGTGTTTTCCTTTCATTCAGTTAATGAAAATAGTTCTACTTGTTCGAATATATTTTATGAAAAATAATAGCAAAAGACTCTTTATAAAAATATTGAATTTTGTTTTTCATTAGGTTAGGCATTAGTCAGAAATGTACTGTCGGAAAGAAATCTCATTGAGTCTCTTCACTCCAAGTCTTCAATGAAGCTATTCTGCTTAAGAAATGTATTTTGTACATATTTGTCTTAGGTTAACAAATTGATAGAACATTTGCATCTTAGAAAAACCACTATTTGAACTCATTTTTAATTTATTTTAATAAGAAAAGCGTTTTCTAACTCGAATCAAGCGATGAAATCAGTAGAAGGAGAAGTGATTGATTGGTGTTAAATACAAAAGGTTTAGTCTTTGTAGGTATAGGTAAAATCATAGCAAATAATGACTTATGTTTTGAATCGTTCAACGTTTCAAATTTTGATTGTAAAATTTCATTTTCATTTTCATATTGTTCATGATTCGAATGAACAATTGTAGATTTTGTAGGAGTCTGTAAAAATCTTGGTGGTGATGGAATTTGAAGAACTAGTGGATAAGCTGTTGTCGAAATAGATTTTTGATTTGTAAGAGAAAAAGGTTTATTGACAACGGTAATACTAATTGATAATTTTAAGTAGTAAAGAATCAAAAGAAAAACAGTAATAATATTTGACATTAAACAAAAGACAATAATCGATGATACAAAAAAGAAAATGATATTTCTTTTAAATTTGTTTTTGCGCCAAATATCATCTTGTATGAAACCAACTAACATCAAATACTAAATAGGATTATCAAATCCAAATTTTAGAAATCAGAAGATTTTTCAATAAAATTCAGAGGAAAATCAAACGCTTTTTCGAAATTTGGCCAAAAACAAAGAAATTATCAGAGAGTCATTTCGTAGCAAAGCGAAAGAGTCACTATTTACAAACTCTTGTGATTTGTCATTATCAAGTAAGTGAAGAGAAAAATCATCTCACACATGAAATAAAGAAAAGAGTGACACGTATTCATGTGTATATCTGAAAATCTCGAAAGCAAAAATTTCGAATAAATCTACCTATTTCAATCACACTAAAGTGTCCGTCCACGGTCTCCACTACCAAAATAGTCAAAAAATGCTAGAAATGACAGAATTGAGTGATTTAATAGTTTTTCAGAGTGTATCTTACGTGGAATTTAAACCGAATTTTACTAGAAAATCGCTGAATTCGTGGTCGGTAACGATCGGAACACGCCCTACCTAGAGCTGGAACCGGTTTGAATTTTTCACAATCAGTACCGGTCTGAGTATGCCAGACCGGACCGACCGATGTATTCGTAATGATTGATCTATCGATTACAGATATCGATTTCATACGTGATCCCAATCATAACACAATGGACTAAATGCGAATAACATTAGATTTTCTTCTGCTCTATCTAGTATAGTAGAACAATCATTGAAGAACGCTCAAGACTTATTCTTTGGAATATTTTCTTTTATCACTTGTTACATTCGAGATTTTCACCTTTCGAATGTTTTTTGGAATTTTTTTCGAGATTGTGAGACATTTCTGTAGTCGAATGTATTTTATTGTCATGATATTTTCACATCTGCTCATTTACTGATGAAAAGAAAGTCAACATACGTATTTTTTAGGATATAGTGGAAACTAATCGAAAATCGATAGCAAACTATTTGGAACGCCACCATCATCATGTTGACAACATAGCTATATTTCTTCTGACAAGGAAATTTTGCTTTGACAATTCTTAATCATTTAAGAGGTAATTAGAAAATTTTGTAAAACTGGAATAATCGTTTATTCAAAATTTCCTTTCGACACTTATAAAGTGATTTCACATTCAATTACTCTATGACTGAAACTTAACTTGCAATAAATATTTGAAACAAACACAAGATAGACATCAAAGTTCATTTTTATGAATTAAACGCATTGGCACTATCACAACTATGACCTAAAAGATAATTGCTTCAAACTATAACTGTTCTATTTTTCTTCTACGATTTTTATTGATTCAAGTTGTCGCTAAAATCCACTGTGCTAAAACTCTGGAAATCAGGAAGTTTGGCTAGTCTCATTTGTCAAACTATAAACCTTCTTATCATAAAAGACAAAGCACAATCAGATTCTTGTTTTTATATTCTTGATTGAACAAAACATGTTACACTTATTTTTTGTTGAATTTTTCAATGATGTTTATTTATTTCTTTTTCTTTTTTTCTCCTTCAATAACATACGACGAAAGATGAATAGAAAAAAAAATTAAAACGATTTTGCTGATGTTTGATGTTCCATTGCTTGTTAAAGTAAATATCGTTTAATTTCGTTCGGCATCATCTTTACGTGCCAATGGTGTATCACGTTTCTTCCGAAATGAGCAACCTTCTGTAAGACGTGCTTTGCCACCTGATGGTGAACAAAGTACATAATTGCAGCCAACACATAAAACAACAGTTTGTGCATGACTAAAGACTATAACATAGACAAACAAAATAAATTATTAAGTTTTATATAAAAATTTTTATTTATTTTACCTGTTGTAATTTTGTAACAACCTGGGCATTTAACATCCATAAAGAATGAATTTGGACTTTGAACAAGTCGTTTCTTCTTGTGTTTTCGGCGTTCTTCTTCCATTGATGGATGAAGGAGATCTTTAGCTAATGGCATTTTATTTTATTTACGATTGAATGTAAATATCTGAAAAATACGTTAAATTGACTGACTACTAAGTTTATATTTATATGTATATATATATATATTAAATGTGAATATGTACAACTGTTGTAAGAACAATATTTTGTTTTTCATTGTAAACTTTTGTTCGTATGTATAGATAGTATCTGATCCAAGATAAGAAGAAAAAAAAAGAAGAAAACAAAAAGAAAAACATTGATGATTTTTGTAAATTTTGGAAGAGCACTAACAAGCAAACAAAAAAAAAATATTGCAGAAAAACATGATTAATATCAAACCGGATAAATATGGAAACACGAACAATCAGTTCTATCTTTTTCGTAGTAAATCCATTTATATGAGATATCATTTAAAATATTTTGCAGCACTAACTAAGATAAGTTTTTCAACAAATAATTCTGAATCTAATATTGCTATATGTGCTGCACGACCAATAAAATTGTTAGTACCCGATGGAATATTATGAAATGCATTGTAACGAACAAATGTTATCGATGAATTATGAAGTATTGGTTCAAGTAAATTATTTATCATTTCAACATAAATCGAACCTAAAAAAGTAGAAAGATATATTTTATTTCATTGTTAGATAGCAAATAAGAAGAAAATTATAGGAAGTTAAAAATATTGCATATTGCACATTTGTGTGCACTACTACCACCAGTATAGTGCAGATTATACCGAAAGATTTACCAGTAGTTATTGTCCTGTTTGAATCACATGGAACCGTATATCATTTTCTTTCTTTATCGTGACAAGCAGCATTAGGTTCTTCAATCTATTGCAAAGATGGTAATAGTCTACCGACAAGCGGCTGATCTGAAATTCGTAGCAACTCGATTTCTGGATAGTGCGAATTGGTGTAGGTAAATTTCAACAATTCTTCATTAATTATACGTCCTATATGAGACACTATTAAAACCAGTAAAAGTTTTAAATAAGTTTATATAACTCAAATTGAAAAGTATGGACGATAGATTAGTCAATTTGAAATTCATATCCAGCCAGATTGGCTATTAACCGGTGTTAGTTCTATCTGTGATGTATTATGGTTAGTGCAACTATTAAATCAAGGTTTTGTTTAATAGAATTTGAAACTGTCAACTAATGTCCACTCGAGAATTCAAGATGAGTGAATATAAACTCATTAACTGGACAACGGCAACAGTTAGCAGCCTAATATTTTCAGTAATCGAAGTATGAGAAGCTCGAATGTCTTTTTGTGTCATACTATATAGAGTAAAATGATTTGAAAGGTCATTATATTCGAAAAAAAAATTTAAAAAATTCATCTTAAATAGAAAACTAAAAAACAAACCATAAACAGTGTCTTTCAATGCTGCTTTGCAAAGTTCAATTCGAGCTGAATGAAATGGAACATAACGATCTTGTGGCGAAGCAATTAATAAAATATTTTTAAAGTATTCTAAACCTTCAAAAAAAAAAAAAAAAGAACGAGTAATAAAAACAATCATTTTATTTATTCATTTATTAAACTTACAAGGTTTTTTACTAAGTTTATATAAATATGTTTGTTTGGGATCAACATGATCTTTAAATGACATTTGAGATAAACTACAGGATTTTTTCCATTTTTGCATCAACCACATTCCTTAAAGAGAAAAATTTCTTTTTGCTTATTAAAACTTGAAATATTTAATAAAACAAACCCATATTAACTAGACCACTTGAATTAAATAATGTTCCTAAATGAGGTCCAGATAATGAAAGATATGTATAAAGTAATGTTCTATATCGTTCAAAACGTGAATGACTAACAGTAGCACGTACAACAAGATTTCCTAAAGAATGTCCAACAAAACTAATACGTTGTGGTTTAAGTCCATAACGTTCAATATGTGCTTCAATTTCATCAATAAGTTGTTTAACCATAATATCAATATCATCAAATGTTGATGCATGATTTGCTGATGACATAAGAAAATCCAATCGACATGTTGGTAAACATAATTCAAGATATGTTTTAACTAAACGTAAATCACCTGAATTACCATCTAGACCATGTGCACATATAACAAGATGTACACCATTATTATCAAATTGTATGAGTTGTTGATTAAAATATGGAATTGTTGATACAAGATTTGAAAAATCCGAATAAAACATTACATTTGAAGAATATTTTGATGATATTATTTGTTTCATTTTTTCTTTATAGATAACATATCTAAATAATAGATTATCGTTTGAAGATCAAACTATTCATTCTATCTATTGATTATATGATGATAGATCAGTCTGATATAGGAAACAAATTAAAGAAATAAATGGTTTTATCGGAATAAGTCCACATTGACATCAAACATTGAACAAAAATCTTGTTTATTTAAAGTACAAGTTTCTTATTATCAAATGAGATATCAAAATTAGTTGTCAGATGAATGAGATGCAGCCGGAAAATAGTATGAACTTGGAAGCAGGAATCCGATGAATAGATTTGTTGATCGAATTTATTCAGTTTCGGCCGGAACCAGACAGAGTCGGTAACCGAATACAACCATAGAATTTCTGTTTCCAAGTTCCTGTCATTTTCCGGTCGGAAATGATGCATTTCCTGTAAATTCCCTTCGGAAATTCACGGATCCGAGTATCGAAATCATTGGTCTGAGGTGTTGTAATTTTTCATCATGAACTTCATATTTAATACGTTTCTTAAGTTTTAGGTGTCAGCATTTCGTCTTCTCTTGACTCACACACAACTATTAAAGTACTGTTAATTTCTTATGTATTTTCTTCGATATAATATCTCATTTGTCTTTGCTTAAAATTCAGCACGAGAAAGTCTATCAAAGATTTGAAAATGGATAAACGATTGCAAGACGGACATGTAAAACTAAAGAAACATGTTAAATATGAACTTTATAAAAATTTATAAGAAATCATTGCGACTTTTCGTTTGATTACAAATAAATTTATACTTTAAACAAGAAAGAACTCTGTTCGGTTTTTGATGCCAATGTGAACTTATTCAAATAAAACTATTTACTTGTATTTCTTTAATTTGTTTTCTATATCAGAATTCAAGTATCGAAAGACTCAGTTGTCGAGATTCATCTATCGGTATACTATGTCTAACTTACTCCATTTCTTGATTATTCATTGAAGTATTAGTTTGTATTCGATCTAATTCAGTTGAAATGTCTTCTTTTATTGTTTGATTTTCATCAATAATCATAGATGATTGATGTCCATTCATTTTTTCAATTAAATGTATTTTATTTTCATCATCAGTTAAACCATTTAATAATAATGGATCAATATCATGTGTTGAAATAGTATGTCGTCGTTGATAATCAGCTGTTGCTGTTTGTTCTAATTGTAAAGTAAGATTAAGAACTGAATCAAGTGAACAATTTATCGGTCCATTTGTTGTTTTATCATTAATAGTATCATTTGGTTTTGTTGTAAAATATTTTGGTTGAACATTAAAATTTCGCTTATTATTATTATTTGTAGATGTTGCTGTTGAAGTTGATTTTGAACGAAATGGTGTTACAGATGTTGTTGTTGCTGCTGTTCGTCTATCCATTGTACTAGCTTTACCACGAAATGATACTTGTAAAACTTTTGATTTCATACTTGAATCACCAAATGTTGATGCAGCAACAACTTTTTCTTGTTCATTTGTCTTAAAAACATCGTCATTTTTATCAGGTGTTGTACATAAAAATTGAGGAACTATTGATTCATCAATTTTTGATGTTGTTGATGTACTATGACTTCGTTGTAATGGTACATCAGGTAATGAATAACGACTGGCATGTTTATGTAAACGTAATGAATGCGAAGTATTTGTTATATCAGAATCAGATTGATAAGGAAATAAATTCGATGATGAATTTGGATTATTATCAAGTGTTGTTGTTGTCGTTGTTATTGAAGATATTGTTGATGTATTATCTTCATCAACTTTACGAAAAGATGTCAATTGAATAGATGGATCATTTGAAAATGCAATTATTGGATTGATATTTGTTGGTGTTTGAGTACGAAATGAAAGTAAATTTTTACCAGATTGACGAAGTTTTGGTGTTGAAAGTGAATTTGGATCATTTATAGATGGTTTATATGATTGAGATTGATGTTGTTGTTGTTGCTGTTTTTGAGATTTTAATGGTGGCGTGGCCGGTGGTTTTGAAAGTGAACTTAACACTGTTTCATCCATACTTCCGCCAAGACAAAGACCAAAATTTGGACGAAATTTACCTTAAAAAAAAAACAAATAAGAATGAATATGAATTAAAAATATAAATAATTTAGACTAGCTAAGACAAAATATAAACCATTAAACAAAATAAAAATATACACTACTCACAACCAAAGCTTCTAACTCAAACATGACTGTCAACATCATGCTAGTATTATGATTATTATTGTAATTATCATAATCATGCAAGCCCTATTCTATGGGCATAGAGAACAAAATCAGGTACCTTTCATTAGGTTCTTACTAAAATTCTGAACGGCTTGTACAATTGGATTATCATTATATCCGCTATTGCTTTTAGTTTTAACTGAAGATGATAATATTGGTGTTGATTTTTGTTCGACAGCTGAATAAATTTCTTCAATAAGTATTGGTAAAGTATCAGGTGTTCCATCTAATTCTACACATTCAATTGTTAAATGTGGTAAACGTGAATAATAAGCTGAATTTCGAACAAGTTCATGTAATTCATTATATGAATCACATTCATTTGTTAATAAATTAACTCGTGATATTTCACGTTGAAAAAAGCCTTCAGACAATCGTCTTACCTAAAAAAAAACAAAAGCTGATTAGTGCAATTCTTGTGAGATTAAAATGTGAAACACGATGGACATGTTAGTTTTGTAAATGACGAGATTAATCAATATATTGCAGTGAGTGTGAAAGAAAACTAACGAACAATTTCATACTAACTCCACAGTAGATTGTAATCTCACGGTTATGTCTGTCACATCTGTGATGAGTCCTTGCTAACGAGGAAACCTCTCCACGTGTCAAATGGCTTTTTTTGATCGGAAGGATATTTATATGATGTGTAATAGAAAGGTATAGAATGCTATTGTTTTCCAAACCTTCGTTCTTGAGATATCGAAATGTTATTGGGCTTTTCCCTCGCCACGCAAGGGCGTAGTCAGACTTATTATGAGAGGGACCGAGTACATACCAGCATAAGAAGAATTTTTTGTTTTGTAGAAGTATTTTTTGACCAAGGAGGATTCACCCCTGGCTATGTTTAAGCTTTCAGGTTACGTAAAACGTCGACTTTCAACTTCAAATTTTGCATGAACTAAGTTCTCAAAGAGATTAGTTCATTCGACAACTTATAACTCTATATAGTATCTTCTATTTTGAGATATTCAATAGTCGAAATTCTCTAATGTGTGAAAGCAAATTTTGTTCATATATGTACAGCTCCAGAAAGGAAATACTCATTGCACAATGAACTAATTTTGTGAAGAACTTTGTTCATTCCAAGTTTGAAGTCAAAAGTCGATTTTCCACGTGACTTGACGAAGAAAGAGATACATGAATATTCAGTAAAATTTCAATATCTCCAGATGGAAGAACCAGAAAATCAAACCATAAAAGACTTTTCTATTATTCACCAAATGAACGTCATCTCGACCTTGATTACCGGAGAGATTTTTTCATAAGATGTCTGTTGAAGGTTTGAAATTTCTCTTCGTTTACTTCAATACTTCATTTTACATCATGTTTCAGAATACAACTTTATGAATTGTGAAAGATTATAATGAAATTTCTTACGCGTTTGAAATGATAATCTTTTGCTAGAACAATTGCTGATATTTCATGTAAACCAAATACTTGGATAAATTGGCACCAAAGCATGATATTTTCTGCTGAACATTGTGCTATATGTGCATGAGCAAGATTATCAATTGTATGAATATCATCGGTGTTCTTAAATATCAAAAATAATAAGTTTAATAATTATTAAAACAAATTACTTCTAGTTTTTCAGAAAGATTTCGTAATTTTTGCTGACATTTTTGATGAACTAGATCAATAGAAAAATTTAGTTCGAAATATTGAATAATAAAATTTACCATGTACTGGTTTTTCTTCATTATTAGGAAGATGTTCAAGCATTATTTCATAAAAATCTTGTAAAGATTCATAAGATGATAGAAGTATTTCACAAATACTATTATGAAGATTGTGTGCTCGTTGTAAGAGAGTAGGATTTATTTGATCGGTTGTAATCTAATAGAATATTAACAACAAGAAAAATTAAAAATTAATGTTAAAAACTAAAATACTTGTGAAAGATCTTGACCAAAAAGAAAGCTAAATAGTGAAGTTCGACGTACATTTGGTCTAATATTAGAACATATCATATAAAGCATATATAAAAATAGAGAAGAAAAAAAAAAATCAATACCGATCAAAAACATAGGGTGGAATAAGACAAAGTAGTGAACTATGAATAGTAGTTGTCAATGCTGATAAATGAAAATAATCAAAAAATATTGGTACATGAGTATGAATGCCAACTCGAGGATCAAAATGAAGTTTATAACAACGACTACATAATTGTTGCATGTTCGGCATTTTTTCCGGTCTAAAAATACGATGAATCTATCATTATTTGTTTTAAATAAAAACTATCAGATTGTACAACGTTGGAAATAACCGAAAACTAGTCGTATAAAAAAGAAAAACTTAATTTGTCTACGTAGTATCTAAATTTTTGACTATACTAAAATATATTCTGAAAAAGTACTTCATCATCAACATTATCTCATTTGAGTTGAAAATCCAATCATAAGTTGCAGCATAGCAAACAAAACAGCTTACCAATGAACTGACAGACTGATAAGCCTTCATATAAAAAACTTTGCTTGTGTTCAAGTAGAGTGAGCCTAGATAATCTGTATCTGATACCTGTACTTTTTCCAAATATAACAGGATGTGAGTAAATTCTCGACAATATGGATATGCGAAACCATGTTTTTTTAACTTCGGTCTCGAAAAATATCGTCTTTTGATTTATTTAGTCGACGACTATCACCGTATTCGGTCATCTTTCTTGAGTTATGATGTGTAAGGTAATTCGCTTAAAACTATAGAATATTTAAATATACCCTTTAGCTTCGGCTAGGACAAGTATTTCGTTGTAGTCTCGATCTCGTACGTTTTTACATGACATCTATATCCACAACAAAAATTCGCCATAATATGAACAACTGGAACTGTTAACAAATAGGCCTGAAACATTCGGTTTATCAGTAGGCTCAGTTTTTAAACAAGAACTGGTTCTTTGAACTGTGAGCCGTCACATGTCTTTTGAATAGTCAATCAAGTAAAATACATAGATCTCAGAAAAATGTTGTCTCATTATACTTGATATCGTTTTCTTTGTCGATCCTTTTAATAAAATGATTTTGTAAGTTTGATAAATAATTGATAGTAATATGGTTAACGTACCGAAAAACTTATAACAGCTCTGTTTGATAAAGCTACAGTTTTTATTTATTAAAATGATCGGCAAAGAAAGCTCTACAAAACCTGACAGGTAAAACGTTTCCTGAGATCTATATATTTATCATAGTTGACTACCCATAGCCCTCAATTATATACCTAAAATTGCGGAACTTTCGCTAACTCTCTGCCTGATTAGAAGCATTTATGTTTATAATTATAACTCTTAACCCCCCCCCTCTCCCCCCGCCATCCATCGGGAATAAAATATTATTTCCAACTTTGTGCATGAGTTCAATAAATGTATGAATACAATAAAACGAGTTTGATATTTAAGACAAGTCCACGGATATGTTGAGTAGAAATTTTTTCCACATTTTCGATTAACGTACAATATCTACTAGCTAGATTTTCTCTTAAACACTTTTATCACATCATATGTCAACATGTAAAGTGTTGAATTCATCACATTTGATCATTCTAAATTAGATACGTTTCTTAATTGGCTTTAATCATAAAAGCTCATTTCCGAATGTTAAATCTCATAGATTCGACATTAGTGAGAAGAAGAACTATGCAAATTCTAATCTCAAAGGAGAATCAGCAATAATACACTTATAAAAATAGAACAAAAAAATATACATAGAACCTTGACACTGGAAGATATTATAAAATATTATTAAAAAGGACATCTCCTATTTCAAAATCTTTTACTACTTTTACACAATTCGAAAAACTTTTCTTCTAAAAATTTTTATAAATCGAATACGTACGAATAGTCTCGTTCTAAAAAATACAGTTCAACAAAAAGTTGCATATCCAATCGATTAAAACATTCAATAATCTTAAACAAAAACAAAAATTAAATTCCAAAAAAAAAGTCATTGTTTTTTTCTTCTTCTTACATTTTGAGCGTCAATGATAACTGAAAGTTTAAAATTAAATTGATCATCCAATTGTACTTCTTCATTTTTAAATACAATTAAAAAGGTTTTGCTTACACCCCAATCATTAAATGCACAAGCAGGATAAATTGAATCATTTGAATCGTCTAAATACAATAAGAAAAATTTTTTACTTCTTTATTTTATATTATACTACTATGAAAAATAAAAAAAATCACTCCGTCCTTGACTCCTTTTAAATATTATTCTTGGCTAATATAGCTTTTTCGTTTCAAATTCAGTAACTATATAAATTCACATGTACTCATTCAGTATTTAGTGCAATAAATACATGAATTTATTTATTGTTGGTGAATCTGAAACTAAAAAAAGATTTTTGGGAAAGTATAAAATTCGAAAGAATTCACAGGTGGAGAGTAATTCTATAATTCTTCACAGCATTATATTTCATCATACCAATCACAGGAGAAAGTTCAGATTTAACTTCAATTTTAGTTGCCGATTGAATTCGTGGTGCAAATTTAACTCCTGTACGAATTTGATAATATCTACAAATATTCGAAATAAAAAAATTCTTACAAAAAAACAAAAATCTTCTCAACTTACCCTTGTACAAATAAATCGATGTTAACAAATTTTCTTAACTCAACCGTTAATTCGATTTCGGCCTGAAGATCGGCCATAACTAAAAAAAAACAACAAACAAAATAAAAAACTGAAGATTTTATTTTGTTTTAATTTATATACCTATTTTCTTTTGTTTTTAAATAAATTAATAAAATTAAATTCTCATTTCTTAATTCCAAAAGAATATCTCGACAAAGAAATCATTTTTACAAAAAAAAAAGACGATATTTGCGTCTTTGAAAACGACGCGTTCAAGAAACAAACAAACGACTAAATATATATATATACAATCCAAGCCATCTTGTACATGATATCACATTGTGTCTCTCTTTTTTATCAATATCATAAAATTATTTTAAAAATAATTTTTTTTCTAAATAAAAATTTTTCTCACTGTTTCTCAATGAATAACTTCATTTTTTTTTAAAGCGACATTTTATTTATTTTTTTCAATGATTGGTGTTACTAATGATGAAAAAATATTTTATGGATCAACGGAATATATTATTGGAGAAAACAACAGCAAGGAAGGAAAGCGCGGACATCCAATAGAACAAAATAATAAAAGAGAGAAAAAAAACACACAGACACATACAGCAAAAGAAATTGATCATTATTCTGTCTTTATGTTTTATAGATCAACAAGAAAATATTGACGAGAATAAGACACTTGTTCATCCTTTCCTTTTATTCCCCATCCATTTAAATCATTTCCATTTATCCACTGAAATTTCAAAAATATGGTAACTGTGATAGCAACCAAGGAAGAATTAACAACACCTATTAAGAATGGTCTCACCGGTGCCGATTCAAATGATACTGAACGACCATTTCAATTTATTAAAGATTATCAAGAAGTAATTATAGAAAATATAAATTTTGTTTGAATTATTATTTTATTTATTTATTTATTTATTTATTTGTTTTTAGGTTGATTTTCATCGATTAGCATCATGTAAACCTTTACCTGATGATTTATTTGGAAAAGTTGATGGTGAAATATCGAAATCTTCAGTAAGGACATTTAATTGTGACTTTATGCTAAGTTCGAACTCAATGAACCGAAAGCCTCTAAACAAAAAAAATTAGTCTTCACTCTTTGTCAACATTGAAATGAATCGGGGTAACTCCCCAATCTTAAAAACTTTCGTTCTTCTTCCGTTTTTTTTTCTTACTATTTCCTTTGAAATCCGGTTAATTTTAGAGAAAATCTTCTAATCAGCCTCCTAAGCTATTGACGCCGGGACATCTCCTAAAAATGAATAATAACATCTAGAAATGATTTTTTTTTATAAATGCGAGAATAAAGTTAAAAGCTAATCCTTTAGAAAATTGATTGCTTTTTGCGGGCATTTAATATTCAACAATGTTGTTTTTCATTTTATATTTAAATCCCGGCCCGAAATAAAAGACTGGGCTTCTGTTATGAAAATTTATATTTCACCTCCTCAGATAATCTTTGCTTTCGGACTAGTTTTTTGATAATTTTACCTACAAAACCCAAAGGTTTTTTGAAAAATAGGCTTTTTATAGCAATGAACTACGAAAAGACTGCAATTTCTATCAGAAAAAAATAGTTTTGATGTAAAAATCAGATGTTTTAGCCTCTAAAATCCGTCGAGTTTTCGAAAACTCATGATCTTCCATTGTGCGGAAGGGAATTTTACTACAAATGTGAAAACAAAATTAATTTTGTGGACGAATTTTTTTAAACATGAAAAATCATTATTAGAAAAGCATCATCGTTTTTATTGTAATGATTATCGCCTTTAATGTTTATTTAAAGGAAGAAAAAAATGTTCTTTTGTTCTTGTCGAATGAATCACTTTCATAGTTATGAAATTTGAAGAGCTTTTGATTGCTATCAATAGTAGTTATCATATAATCATTTATTTTTCGCTTCATTGCGTACAAATTAACTGGAGTTTTTGCATAGTAAGTGTAGAGATGTTTATCTTTCATTCAAACAATATCAATAAATCATTCGAAATTCAAACAGATGATTATGTTATCATACGTTTGAATGTTTGTTTTTTTCTTATATTTAACTTAGATAAACGGCACATTTTTTGTTCAAATCGATGCAATTGAACCATTTATTCAGATAAATAATAATCAAAATGAACAGACAAATGATAATGATCGTATAGTTTTAACACTCACCGATGGCATCAGAACTGTCAAAGCTATTACAAACGATCATATTCCTAGTTTAAAGTATTTCATATGAAAAACAAAAATTAAATTTTCATTTAACTTTATTTTATTTCTTTTAGTTTTAATACAAAAATCGGTAGTAAATTATTATTAACCGATATTATAACAATAAAAGATGGTTTACTTCAATTAACACGTGAAAATACACAGTATCAAAATGGTTCAAATACATATTCTCGACCGCGATCAACTCGTCGCGTTAGTAATGAATAAATAAAAAAGAATCAATGTAGCATTTTATTATTTTAGGGTCGTGGAAGTGGATCATATCGATCTTCATATGAAGGACGACGTAAATATTTTCAGTATTTTCATACGATATAAATACTTTTTTATTAATAGGAAATAGTCGATATGATAATGATGATAATGAAACGAATTTTTTTAAACGTCCACCACCGAAAAATACTTTAATGGATTTTATGACTTCATTAAAATTATCGAATGATAATGAAAATGAAAAATTTAAAGAACGTTACGATAATAATAATAAACGTCGATATAATAATGAACAATATAATGGTACTAATGCAACAAATAAAACAAATTTTCAAACACATTATTCATTAAATAATAATAATTATAATGATATAGTTCAACAAGATGAAATTGATGAACAATTAGATTCAGAAGATGATCCTTCACAGGCAAATTATCGAGAACGACGAAATCCTTTACCACCGAGGTGTGTAGGTTTTTATTTTTATTATTAAAAATATCAAATTTTATCTTTCACATTAAAAGCTTTATCAAAGAACATTTTGTTTCTATATGAAAAGTATAATATTGATATATCGATCTTGTAATAGTTAATGTGAGAAAAAATACGTATACATGAATGTAAAAACTTTTCTTTGAGCGCTTTTATATAGAAAATAATGATTTTAATGTTGCAGAAGACAGTAAAGAAGAATATGTAGATTAGAGTTTCATATAGATTTCTTGAAAATTGTAATATTTTCTCAATCATAATGTTTTTCTTTGATCAATTGATTGAATAGAAAAATTCATTTTTTATTTTCTATTTAGACTTCAACGTGCACAAGAAGAACGTACTCGTCGAAATACAAATCGTTATTATGATGAATCAATGCCTGGAAATGATCTAAATAGTATTTATTCAAATGATAACATAAGTAATCAATCATTGTCCTCCTTGTCATCAACATACATACAACATGGAGATCCAACATCATATATTCCTAATAATTCATCAACTGGTCAACAACATGCAGCTTCTCTTAATTCTTATACACAACCTACTAATATAATTGCTACTGTTAGTAGTTCAACACCAACTCATCTAACTTATTTTCAAGCTAATCCGGTATTATAATTAATAAATTTATGATTTATTATTATTATTATTTTTCTTCTCTTTTATTTTTGTTTAATCTTAGAATTCTTTAACATATAGTCTTGCCGGTATTCCAAGTCCACCATATCCTAATCATCAAACACTTATTGGTCCTTCATATCCAAATGATCATTTAACTTTTTGTTATGGACCACCTTATGCAACTCCAACTTACCTTCCACCGACAATTACTAATAATTTTAATGGTGATACAAAAACTAATGGTAATACTTATCCTGATAATGAAACGGCACCAAATACAGGATCTCAAAATGATGAGAATAATGATAGTGGAATTAAATCAGAAATTTCATCAAGTGAACAAAAACAAACATTATTATCATCTAATGATAGTAATACAAATTTTCAAGAAGAAAAACATCGAGATTCAAATTCAGTATGATTTTAAAAAAAGACAAATAAGTCAAATTTTTTGTTTTAAATTAATTTTGTATATATAGAACCCAAGACCTCGTTGGAAAATAGGTGATACGTGTTTAGCTCGATGGAGTGATGATGGAGAAGTAAATTGAAACATAATCTTGCGTATTTCTCATTAAAATTTCATTGTTTCTAGTTCTATTATGCTACTATTGTGGAAATTCAACCTCCTTACTGTACCGTTATGTACTATGATTATTATAATTACGAACAAGTTCGCTTTAGTGATTTAAAAATTATACCACGTGATCAACAATATGTAAGTTTAAAATTAAATATAACATTAAAAGAATCATATGATATAGAATAATTCCTATCTATCTATCTATATATATACAGGGTGGCCCAAAAGTCACGCACCCGACAAAACATTGAATATCTCCATTAGGGCTTGACCAAACGGGGTGATTGTTTTAGTAGTAATAGAGATATGTACAAGCTTTAAATCCATAAAGACATGTCTAGGAAGACCCTTTGTTAACTATCACTACTGACCTCAAGAAGAAAAATTTTACTTTTGCATAGTTAGAAAAAAAGTCACTTTGCCAATAAAGATGGAATATCTCCACTATGGTTCAAGCTAAAGAGCTGATTCTTTTATTAATGATAGATGCATGTTCAAGCATTATAATCATAAGAACATGCTTAGAAAGATCCTTTGTTAAATATATTGTTTTCTATCTTATCCGTGAAAAAGTAAAATTTTTTTGTTGAGATCATTAGTGGTATTTTATAAAGGCTCTAATTAAGCTTGTTCGTATAGATTTAAAGTATGACCATACCTCTATTATTGGTAAAAATATCAAGCCGTTTGCTTGATCCGTAGCGGAGATATTTAATTTTTTCTTGGTATCGTGACTTTTAGGTCATATGCATGGTAGCCTAAAAGTCAGTTTGCCAAAATAAAAATTGAATATCTCCATTACGGCTAGAGCAAACGAGCTGATTTTTTTAATAATAATAGAACCATGTTCAAGCTGCATATTCATAAAGACAAACCTAGAGAAACCCTCTGTTAAGTCTATTGTTTTTTTCTTCTAT